GACTATGAGCTTGATTTGATTAGTAAGGGGACGCATTTCCCGGACGAAGCTATTCTATTAGTGGTAGGCGAAGAATCAGACTCAACTCCTCATGATTGGCAAATCTTCTTAGTTCTAAAAAAGAGGATAAGTCAGAAGGGACTTGAAGCATATAATCCTTACTCAACTACAAGTACATAGAGAAGAGCTTCCACCTATTATACTCTGCATTGACGCTTCTGATGTTATCTTGCAGTTGGCATTAGGATCTCGAGAGCAAAAGGAATGAATGACGTGTACTTTGTAAAGGCAATCACAAAGAAGAAAGCGAGAGTAGCAAGCAGACGCAGGAAGGACAAACCTCTTTCTTTCATTATTGGTAGAGATGGAGCACAGACAAATGAAGGAAGGAAGCATGGAAGGGGCACCCCAATCAAGAAATTCATTCTTGTTACACTAACACTCATGCGGATAGAAGACCTACCACAAAGAAGGAGTTGGTGAGAGACTTAGGCAACTATTCGACAGCCAGGCCTGTTCTAGTGGCAAAGGAACCACATAGTGAAGGTGGGTATCACCTAAATGCGGGGGTATTCAACAGGAATGCCTCCAAGCATACTACCACTAAGAAGATAAGAGAGTGCTTTACCGAGTGGGTGGGAGGGCAGAGTACTTGATGTGCAATTTCACCCTGGGCTCCCATATGGTTGTATCTCTTCAAAGAAGATAAGGAGCTGTCTGGGGGGAATACACAAACGAAGAAATAATTAACAAATTGTAGACACTAGTAAAAAGCGCAATCAGTCTCATCAGAGTTAGCCAGAGCAAGTCATAGACAAGCTTCTCAAATGTCACGATTGGTACCAAATCTATAATGATCCGGTCTTAAGGAAGCTTTCCGTCCAGCCCTATGAGAGCATTTGTACTAGAACACTAACGATAGCCGCCCCACTGGGAACACATTCACTACTGGGCATTGACATCTTAATGCGTTGCAATCTGGACATGGATCGATCTTTATGCTTCCCAGCAGCTATACAATCTGAATCGGCTACCACACCACTATAAAGACTGCTTGAGTTCTTGAGACCGAGTAGGGGCCCCCCGAGTGCTGGGCCAATTTCTGTGCCGGTTGGAGACCAGGTTCGAGATGCATATCGTCGAAAGAGAGCCATCACCTCACCTACTTTTCAATAGTCAATTCGAGAGTCAAATAAATCCAATTAAGAAGCTGTTGATCTTGATCCAATTCACGATGCATGTGGCGAAATGCTGGTTTCAGCCCCCGAATGGGAAGGGAACCTATCGAACGGGAATTAGTAGTAGTGCTGCTTGCTAACAATATCTTTCTGAGGACAGCAGACGTAATAAATTAATGTGAATTATGAATCTTCTTCTATTCTATTTTTGGCTAACAACAAGAAAGTGGGAAAAGAATTGAAAAAGATGCTTGGAGAAGTGAAAGTGAATTATATCAGATTCCCACTACTCTGAAAAAGAAATGGCGTGATTTGCCTACCTATATTCATAGCATGACGAAGATGAGGATTAAAGATTCTTGAAGGATGATGTTTCAATCTTACTAGAAAAAGAAGGAAAAACAAATGCAATTTTGCAGTGAAGCGGATCTATTCGCCCCCCTCTCCCAACTCAGTCACATGCAACCAGGCTTGAAACCCGGCACACTCTCCCTTCTGTGCCCCCTGACCAAAAGGTATGTATGGTCTTTCTGAGAAGAAGAGCATATCTACCTTGAAGACCTTCTGAAAAGTGGCCTATGGAAGGAGCATACCCACACCCAATATGAGCCTGTACGAGACTTCCCATTCCCATCATGGGAGAGAGAGAGTTTCCCAGCGTATTGATTCATTACCAACTGAATGGGAAATACTTGCTTCTATTCTTTCTCTCCGAGCGATGAACCGTGGTTGTCTAGCTGTAGGAAATCCCTGGGGAGTGAAGGGATAGGTGGAACAAGAGGGGATGGAAGAACTACTGAAAGTCATCCATAAGATGGAATACCTTTCTGGCTATACGAAAGGGGGGAATGGCTCATCAATCAGAGGGTGGAAATTGACTCCAATCGGAAGACTTTCTTTTCCTTTCCATAGGGATTGCCCGGATTAATCACTTCACGGTAGGTAACACGAGGGCTGAGCGATGATTGACCTACCTCAGTTTGTTTTGCATCGGTTACCATGCTTGCTGAAACCTCCCTCCATAGCCGATTGAATGGTTGGTTGGATAGCCACTTAACTGTTATGAATAATGAAAGATGAGGAAGGAAGAGTAACCCCTGTAGTCACATATTACTAGACTTTCTCTAGCCCACTCCCCTCCCTATCTCTCTCGACCGATTCACCGGAGTATGTTGGGCTGGAATGCCTCTATTCCTATCCCATCCTTGATTTATGATCTCTGGGCCTTCCCCCTATCAGTCCCAGTGCAAAAGCATATGACTGCGGAAGACGGACTTCTTTCCCCCCTCAAATTGCTAGGGGTAGGAATTCCTATCAGAGTCTCGAAGGTCATTTTGTCATCAGTGTAGAAGCATGCGTGATAGGGATACTCCTGTCTGTATGCTCATGTTCTGGCTTTCAAAAGACGAGTAAGTGCCGTGGGTGGAGGTGTAAGGGAGTTTCGGTAACAAAGCCCCCGAATTTCAAAGTGCAACCCTACCCTCTCGTATCTTTTCCCTATCTAAGCTATATCAACAAAGCCAACTATAAAATCTGCTTGTCAATTCATTCTTGGTGTAATACTAACTCTACAATGATTTGTGTCAGAATTTTGCACTGATTAGGTGTGAGCTTACAGGGCTAGGGCTCATCTGTGTAAGAATTAGGGATTCCTCTTCCAACTCGTCCCGGAATGGGCGTTATGGCAAAGAACAAGAAGAAAAAAAAAGGAGAAATTTGTCCAATAGTAACAAATGGTGCCTCCACAGGTTGACATCCGATCCAACCTAGTAGTAAGCAATCTGCCAAAAGCAACCAAAATAGTCCTTGGTGAATAGGGCGAAAACTTGAACTACGCACATACATACTTTTAAAAAAAGGTAAAGCCAACAGACATATAAAAACTGGTGCTATTGCGGCTACACCTCCCGCTTTGTCAAGTATACTACGAAGAATGGCATGGATAGGTAGGAAATACCATTCCGGCACAATATGAGGCGGGGTGGGCATCGGATTAGCAGGTATATAATTGTGGTAGGAAATACCATTCCGGCACAATATGAGGCGGGGTGGGCATCGGATTAGCAGGTATATAATTGTCGGGATGCCCCAAATTCCGGCACAATATGAGGCGGGGTGGGCATCGGATTAGCAGGTATATAATTGTCGGGATGCCCCAAAACATTAGGAGCATAAAAAATCCAAATGGAAAAAAAGATAGCAAAAGCTACCCAACCTACTTGATCCTTTACATAAAAATAAGGGTAAAAAGAGATTTTATCCATCTCAGAATGTACACCCAATGGATTATTGGATCCATATTGATGCAATGCGGCCAGATGAAGAAGACTAGCGCCTGCTAAAAGAAAAGGGAGTAAATGATGAAGACTAAAAAAATGATTTAAGGTGGCATTGTCCACGGAGAAACCACCCCAAAGCCAAGTCACTATGGTATCTCATACTACGGGTATGGTGCTAGCTAAGCTTGTAATTACAGTTGCTCCCCAAAAGCTCATCTGACCCCAAGGTAGTACGTATCCTGTAAAAGCTGTCACAATCATTAATAAGAAGATTACAACTCCGAGACACCGAACAAATTCCCTAGGACTGCTATAACTCGCATGATATAGACCACGAAAAATATGAAGGTGAACCACAATGAGAAACATACTAGCCCCATTTGCATGCATATAACAGAGCAACCAGCCCCCTTCAACATCTCTCATAATGTGTTCTACGATATTGAAAGCTAGATCCACATGAGGGGTGTAATGCATAGCTAAAAAAACGCCAGTAACTATCTGAATGACTAAACAAAGACCTGCTAACGGACCGAACCCCCACCAATAACTAAGATTACTCGAGGTTGGATAATCTATCAAATGCTGATTCAGTGTGGAGGATATAGGTTGTTTAAGAAGAGAGAATCGTTGGTTTCTTTTAGTCATTTCTCTTTCCTATCGTGACAACCTTGTTCCCCCACCTTTTTAACGTTCTGGGGGGGCCGCCTTTCGCTGCTTTATAAAGAAGAGAATTTCATAAAGTCACTTTCTCCAACCTTTTCTCTATCGAGATTGAGAAGTAGGGCGAGAGAAAGTCTATATGATATTTGACTTGGGTCTTCCAATGAAACAAAACACTTTTTTGTCTTTCTCATTCGTAAGGCTCAGTCCCACACTCTGACTTCAATGATGGGAACAACCTCCGCGCACTCCAATGAACATTCTCCGCCTGACTTTACTCTATTTAGAATAGTGGTCGATCCCTCGGGAGTTATATTGGTAACAAGATCTTATGTTCACGCGGTGATATTCTATCTTTCTAAGAGTCAGTACTACCCTCTACGTAGTCTATGTCTGTGGGAGCATACTTCTTTACAGGAGATAGACACAGGTGGTAGAGAGGTCCCCCACTTCGATTCCCGCCCTGTTAGCATCTCCGATCCGAGATAATGGATGACTCCGTTAGGCCTTTTCGTTTCGGAGCCGGTCGGTAATGGACCTACTTGCCTTGCTTGTGGACCATCAGCTGAGCTAACCCTGGTTCTATTGGTTTGTTGGTTGCTACCAAGACGATTTCTTTATGCTAGAACCTCTAGATGCTAATCCACGAAATAGGATACGAGAAATGGAAAGAACTCATTTACTCCACGAGGGCGACCCGTGAAAATTCATAGGTTTCTTACTTGTGCAAAGGAACTCTTTTCTTGTCAACTTGGACAACTTCTCACGATCTTTGTCCCGCATATCACTGGTAAGATTGGGTGGGATCTTTACAAAAGGCTTTCTATCGAAATCAAGCTTTCGAATCAATTCATATTTAGCCGCGAGCAATCTACGTTTGTGATCTCGTGTATATTTAGCTTCTCCTCTTACTGAGTTTCCCCCTCATCTTTTTGCAAAAAGCCGCTCCACGGTAGTAAAGTCTCATCTTGTGTGTTGGCCGAAGTGACAATAGTCACATTGAACCCTATAATATGTTCGAAGATCTCGAAATGATCTTCTAGTTCCGGGGAGAATGAGCAAAACTCTATTTCCATCGAGAACTGCATGGAGTTTTCCCGTATTTCTACCGGAGAATCTAAGAGAGACATTACTGTGGCGATTCTGACTGAAAAATTTGACATTCCATGCCCTCGGAGAGTGCTTTGTCGTGCTAGGTCACTAACATATCCTTTGTCTTTATTTGACTCCAAGAATGGATTGGATCGAAAGGACTTTCCTGTCGAACCCCTTTGTGTCTGTATCAATTTCTGACCGCGCGGAATCTCCATAGCTAATTTTCCATTTTTGATTATGAAATCATAGGGTGCCTTTGGTACGACTCTTATTTCACACGATCCAGGAACTTCCATAACGTTGGCGTGATTTAGTTTGAGCAACAAATCCTGACGTGATACATCTTCGTAATGAAAATCGAGTGAAAACATGAGTTGGCTTTTTTACACAGTATCTATAGAATGAGCACTGTGAACTATCTGCTTCAAAAAGATAGTTGGTTGAATGAGACTGATTTCCAATACCGACGGCTGCTCCCCTCTCAGTCCAGTCCGGGAATACTCTTCGTGATTTCCAAGAAGTGACAAAGAAAGAATAGGAGAAAGATAAGGAGTGTAGGATTGGTATGGGTCGCGCGCGGGCTGCCCCAGCTCCCAACTCATCTGGAGAATGCATGCATTGGGTCCCAGTGATGATTTGATGATCTACTAGTTGATTCAAGATCTGGGTGATTAACCCCATTGAACTAGTGTCGAAATAGGTCAGGAATCCGAAATGACATCACAACACAAGCCGCCCCCGGAGGCGCCGCTTTGCCATCCACTCTGGTTTCATCCCGAACTTCTCCTTGACCCATCCTCTTTGATTCAGATTGTGAGGCATTCAATGCACTTGATGTAGACCAGAAAGAAGAGGCTTCCCCGTGGGCTGGGCTAGGAGAGTAGCTGCCTCTGAACTCTAGCCGATTATGATACCGAATCCTATCTATCTCTTGGAGAGAGGTCCCGAAGCTCTCTCTTTGACTCAGGAGGGCGTTCCACCACTTCGACTGATGCGGCCGTGGTTCCCTCGTCGTGAAAGAAGTAATGAAAGGGAAGCCCCAGGTTCGCCTTTGTTGTTGCCTGTATAGCTTGATTGATAAAGCCGAGATCTAGCAACGCATTCTAGGCACAGATCATTGGTATTGGATGCATCGTTAGGTTATGCGGAGTCAAATCAGCTCTGTTTTTTTCCGTTGCAGAAAAGAGATCCCTTCCCCCCGCTTTCTAAAATGATGAATATTCAGTCCGTGGGGCTGCAGGTACTATGGATCCTCTGACTCCCAATCGGGTTGCCTTCCCAGGTCTCGTCGGTCTTGCCTGTAGGTCGTGCTGTGCCTTGAGATGGCCGTCTCCTATCCCCCAGTGGGGAATCTGCTCCCGGATCGTCGCTGCGTCTTGCCCGTCCTCTAGGCACCTTTGGAAGGCAGGGAGTGTGACAACGTACACGCTTTCCTTTACTCCATAGGGCCTGATCATTGCAGGGTTTGGTGGCCCGAAATTGACTTGGCTTCGCCAAAAGGCCTCATCTCTATCAGCCCCGCTCGTGAGGCGTCCCTCCCATAGTAGGGTTCCAAACCTCGCCTCGCTCTTGTGACATGCTATCTTTCCCCTCTTCATTCCCAAGTCAAGGGTGAGTCCCATGCGTCAGTTTGTGGATCGCGGTCTCACGCACTAATCCCTACAGGTGTCTGTAGTAGGCCGGCCGCCCTACCTAAACCAATCATCATATTAGTCCCTAGGCCCCATTGCTGGAAAGGCTCGGCTTCAAAACCGTACGAGGAGCTTCCGCCTCATACGGCTCCTCTAGGAATGGAGGTAGGCCCAGCCCAGGCTTGTGCGGTTAAGGTTGTTGTACACGAACTCAAGAAAAAAAGAATGAAAAAAATGATGTTTCCTCTGGTCTTCGACATCAAAAAGGTTGTAATAACGAAAGAGAGAGAAGAGAATTTGATAATAGCTAGTGGAACAAGAAAGGCATGGGAGTGGTGCTTGGGCCGAGTTCAGTAAAGACTGGCTGGCTGGCTGGCTACCAGTGATTTATACCTCTCACTGCAGACTTTCTATCTATATCTGTCTACATCCAATCAAAGACGTCAATAGCAGCTCCGCTTTCTTTTCATTCATCAGCGGCTTTCTCGATACGAAAGAAAAGGGCTAGCCTGCATACATATATATATCAATCATTACATTAGCTGTTGCTTGCTGTATCTGACGGATGCTGCAAGGAAGGGTCTAACTATACCGCTTTTCAGATGCAAACAATGAGATCACCCTCTTTCTTATTCATTCTATTATCGATTGATTCTAGCGATAATAGGAAAACCTCTCTCGTGGCCCTTGCCCGTCCTAAAAAAGCCTGGTCTAAGGCCTCTTTCCTACCAAACTAAGTAGTCTCCTACCAAAAAACTCTCTATCTGCGCCCTCACATCGCTACTAGGTTAAAACCCCATTTAGAGGTATAGGTTTGGTGAAAATGGGGCATCCTCTTATTAGGTAGGTTCCTATCCTTATCAATATACAGAACTACGTTAAAGGCGCTGCATCTGAAATTGTTCGTTCACCCTCTCTCTCTCTACACTAAACCGCTAAATCATTTTGGCTCTTTCACACAGGAATTTGAGTGAATAAGGAAGTTCCTTCTCGATTTCGCATGCCAATTGGCAACTACTCTATTTCGTATCATCCCACCCAGACCGACCTATACGCTATTTCACCAATGATCCTTTAATTCCTGAAAAAGGTAGATCCACGGCTGTTCTGGCACATACCTTAAGAACCTGACCATGCACCGAAATAGGATGACCTAACAATAAGGGCAGGTCAGGCTTTTCCTTCGTTTCACTTTCCGAAGTGGCACAAAGCCCAATAGGAAAAGAAAGGTTTTCGGGTCTGAGGAAAAAAGACCCTTCATTCAAACTCATCGCTGCAGGATTTGTTCTCTCATACGGATCAGTCTAGGGAACCTAATTTCATAGCACATGAAAAAGCAAAGCTCGAGACAAAAGATCTTCTTTCTAACTAAAGAGCGAGATTCGATTCATCATTCTTAGATGTCGAGATGGTATCAGACAGAGCAATCTGATCAAATTCATTCAATGATCTCTTTCTGTCATCCCTCTGAGCTCTAAAGCTAAAGCAGCCTGGTGAATGAGAGGAGGGAGGAGGGCAGTCTTTCTTTCTATTATTATGGTGTGTTCTATTGATTGGGGGTGTTTAGTCTATTTATTGGTATGGTATTCTCTCAGTCTATTGTTGTAATTAGTTGGCCTTTTCCGCTGGAAGGTATTCTCATGTGGGTGCGTACTTTTGACTAGTCTGACTGATTCTCGGTCATGGCTGATTGAGCAGGTTCGCGTAGCAGAGGATGATCAAGTCCGCTACACCCAACCCTAGCCATGATACTGAATCGACTGACGACGACTAGCTTCACATTACAAAAGGTAGGGAGAGGGGTGAAACAGCGAGACCAAGTGAAAGAGTGAAAGAAGGAATCTTTCGGATTTACTTACAGTTAAGTCGAATTGATTCTTCGATAGGATTGACTTCAACATTACCTTTACTAGATTTGATCCCTAAAAATAGACAGAGAATAGGAGAAGATCAAGATCAAGAAGAAATCTTGAGGATTGACTTCCAGTTCACTCTCATTGATTCTTCGATAGTCTTTCCTTCTACTTATCAATTACCTCGGCCCTAAATACTGGGATTTTATCCCGAAAAAGAGGGTAAAGATAGACTTTTATCCCTCAAAATACGGGGGGGGGGGGNGGGGGGGGGGGGGGGGGGGGGGGATAGCTTTTTTCTAGTTTTTTTCGTGTTTACAGGAGAGTGAAAGAGCGAGACTGGTAGGGAGAGGGAAGAACCAAGAGCCCGATCTATGGCCGAATAGCAACTCCTACGTAAGCATAGACACTGAGAGTAGAACTCAAAGCGAGAATAGCGCCTCTGACCTACATAGCCATTCTTGCGGATCCGGGCGTTGTTGTGGTTGTTTTGCAAGATCTCCCTTTCAGTTCGTAGAGTGGATCAAAGATATGTTCAGCTTGATTCGTTGGTTCACTTCGTCATCTTATGATTTGAAACTCGATTCCGTTTACACAAACAACTACGTTCTAGCTTGGTGAGTCCCTTCGCTTTGTGTGCTCCTTCGGTTATCTAGTAGCAAAATCTGGCTGGTGAAGATTGATTGAATCAGTGGGCAGCCTGTGCTTGAACGACGGCATTCCAAGAAGCAACTTCCTATGGTATGGTGGGCCCCTATTGATGAATCAAATCACTCGAAAGAAGGTAATTGAACCGTTAAAAGAAAGATTCTTTGATTTAACTAACTAAGAAGGGCGGGGGGAATGGTTTAGCTCGGTTAACAATTGAGCAATCAGGGTCAGGCACCACCATAGCATCAACTCACTCTTTCGGATAGGATTGGTGGGATGTCGTAGCTTCAAGCAGGCAAGAAATATGAAAAAGAAAGCCGCTAGCTTTTGCTCTGTCGTATTGTCCTTCACTCAAATCCCTAAGAGTTACGCAGATAGATTAAAGGGAAAAGAAAAGAGACCGGAGAGGAAGCAGGTGATCCTTTAAAAGAGTAAGTAAAACGAGGATAATCCAAACAAATTGCAATTCGGAGAGAGGAAGATCCACTAGCCAACCAAAGTGGAGGACCTCCTTGAGATGGGGATCTCCTTTGACCACTTATATATAGGTATAGGAATCTTATTCAATAGCGCACCAAATGCGTGCAATAAAGTCAAGCTGTGCCCCAGGAAAGAAAGAGGAGCAGAGAGGGTTGATTCCCAATTAAAAAGCGGAAAAAACAAAGAAAGAAAAAGAAAGAGGGTCTTGTCTGAAAAGGGGACCAGGTCAGTCATAGCTTCTTTGATCATGCCGGAATGAGGAAGAAAAGAAGATCGTTAGCGAGAAGAAAAAACGAGAGCGGAGGCTCTCTCCACAATATCCTTAAGGACCTCTCTCGTCAGGTTGCTACCGGCCCTATCTATCAACAAATGATATAGGATTGTAATCAATAAACTCTTCCTTCTTCAGATTGTAATAAGATTCAAATAGGAAGAGGGGAGAAGGCTAAGTAAGCTCTGCCCCCTTACTCTTTACTCTCTCTCTATAAAAAAGCCTGCAATCGAGGGAGAAAGGAATGCTTCTCGCTCCAGAAATACGAGGGTTGAACCTGCGGATGATACCATTCTTCTGGGCAAAGTCTCCTCCAACCAAAAATGCCAGATGCTGAAAGGTAATTAATCCTCGATCATTTTAGCTGCAAGGGAGGCTAATATGAATGAAAGAAAGAATCGGGTATGGTATTCTTTGTTCAATATGATTTTCCCGACGAAAGGGTTGAATCAGTTAGCTCATCATAAATGGATTAACTGACGAGTGATCTAGGCAGAAAATTCTCCACGGAAGGAAGACATAGCAAATAAGATCCTAGCCTTAGAGTGGCCCCTTTCGAACCAGAGTGCCCTCACTGGGGGGAATTTAAGCAGATCAGGGGTTGTGCGCCCTCCGCCCCATCTCTTACTAACTAATAATAATGAAGTGCTTTGATGCCAGCAAGCACCCTTGTTGTTGTTGGGGAGTATAGGGTTCCAAACCTTGTTAGTCTTATAATAAGCTCCCCTTTCTCTAATAATAAGATAAGGCTATTCATTCAGCCCTTCCTTCAACAAGGTTTGGCTTGCCCCTTGTATAGGTTGGAGCTATGAAGCTGACCTTCTTATTATAATAAGGGTAGTAAAGGGCTTGCTGCTCGCTTTTTTCTCGCTTCCGGAGAGGCCAAGGGATTGGATTGAACCTATGATCAGATCAGCGGGCTACCATCATAGTTGACTTTTTTTGTGGTGTTGTTGAAAGCGAATTTGGAAGTAGGCCTGGGGTGGAGGAGGTGCCGTGAAGATCTAGGAGTGTGAGCAGTACGAGCTGAAAGGCCCCCATACTGTTTGGAGGGCAGGGGGCATAGATTCCAAACAAACCTGACCCCTATCTATCGTCGTAGAAGCAGTTCCTAGGAAAGATTATGGTTCTGGGTATCCAATCAATTAATCCCCAAAACTGGGGAAGCTTAAGCAGAAATGAAAGGGTAGGGTGAGGGATAAGGGAAAAGAAAAGGGGGGAAGCCCCGAAATTGAAAGGCTTCCCTCGCTCGCTCTAACACTCCTTTATACGACAGCGAGTAGAGTGCATAAGCCCCTTTAGAGATAGGGGCGAGTACTACACCAGCTCCTAAGTCAAGTACGGAACGAGCCTCGTCTAACTTTAGAGATAGGGGCGAACTCGTCTTGCTTGCTTCTGGCGAAACTTAACTAACACACTAGATAATCGGCATTCTTTTATGGTAGGAATACTACTTTTTAGGCCGACCACAATACAAGTCATGAGCAATAGCGAAGCCAAGCCGAATAAAGGCAAGCAGCCCAACTAGCAATAACAAACGGCCTACTTATAGCCTCTTCCCTTACTTACTCCCTATTCTCTCTTAAAGCTTCTAAAGCTCATAAAATAGAAATGATGAACCTTTTCCTCAGCTCAGTTCAAAAGGCAAGGGGAATGAATTCGAGAACTTGATTGACATTGAAAGATATGTGTACCAAACAAGCAATATGCCGATTGATGTACCAGCCAGCTCGACCGGGATATTTGATTGGACAGAGAAGAACAACAGATTGAACAGGACAGGACAGCTGGGAAGGGAAGCCTGACATAGATATTGATTTGAACAAAGGAAAGGAACTCAAATCAAACCAGTACCAGAAACCAAAGAAGAGATGGAATTCCAGATTGAACGGATGATTGACCTACAATAAGACGCAAATCTCATTCCGTCTTCCATTCTATAAGACGAACTAATAACTTATCATACAGGCACGCATGAAAGGCGAGCGAAAAACGGTGAATTTGCATTCAAAAGCCCAGTCAACCACTTATGATGACTTCGCCCTTACCTACTACCGTGCTGTAGCCTCTCCTAGACTGATTGAACGAGGTAAAGCATATTTATTCACCTACTATTCTTGTCTCATTGCTTCGCGACGTAACTTGTGTCCTTTAATTAAGTACTTCTTCTCCTCAACTCAAGATTAATGAGAGTTTCCAGAAAGAGAATGAAAGAAAGATTAGCAAGCTCAATCACCTCCCCTGTCGGTAAAGGGGCTTCGTTTGCTCCTTCGCTTTATTTTGTCTCACAATTCGATTCCCTTCGCCCGTAGGGTATCTTTCTCTATTCCCTTCCCCTGAACCCATTACATTGGTCTCACAATTCCATTCCCTTCCCCGGAACCTCTCCCGTCGAGTCATCAATGAATTATACTCGATTACCGTGAGTTATGAGAAGAAAGATGAATGAGCTACTTCATCGGAGAGTCCATTCATTAACTATGTACCCTGCCCCGATATGACCCGACCTGTAAACGCCTTTCCTCCCCTTTACAGTCTCGCCGCTTCACTCCTCTTTTCACTCTTTTACTCGACTGTAACAAAGATGAATTATCAATCACTACTGAACTAGATGGAACTACTGAACCGGAATCTGAACAGGAAGTCAAGCCGAAAGCAAGATGAATGATCCATCACTCCTCTCCCTACCGGTCTCACTGCTTCACCAATATTACCATCAGTTATTGCATTAAGTGATATGAACCAAGAGACATCAATCATACAATATACTTCAATGAATATGTGAAGAAAAGGTTGTCAAAATTATCAAAAGATGTTTCAATTCATGCTACATTGAAGAAGAATAAAGTTTGATTGTTGTAAATTTTGGGTGGGTTACAATTTAGAGTAATTTAGAATTATTGTATTTTAAGACATTTTATTTACTTTAGGTTACATTTACATAATGGCTAATTATGGTCATTAAGTATGAATGTTACAAC